TTTTTTTGGGGGGGGGGGTGAGTATTGTGTGTGTGCGCGCGCTTGTGAGACTGGGAGTCATGATGATTTCTGGCGACTCCTAGTGGGGCTATGATATTTCAGAGAGGTGGCTTACCTGCGTCCTGTCCCTAGTATTCCTTGGAGGTCGCCCTTCCAAATACTTGCCAGGGTCAGCCCTGCTTAGAAGAAGTAGTAGTGATGGGATTTATACCCCGCCCTTCACTACCTGAAGGAGTCTCAGAGCGGCTTACAACCTCCTTTCCCCTCTCCTCCCCACAACAGACACCCCGTGAGGTAGGTGGGGCTGAGAGAGTTCCCTTGAGAACTGCTCTTGAGAGAATAGCTCTGAGGGAACTTGTGACTGACCCAAGGTCACACCAGCAGCTGCATGTGGGGAATCAAACCCGGTTCTCCCAGATCAGAGTCTGCGCTCCTAACCACTACACCAAACTGGCTATCTCTTAGCTTCCGAGATTTGACGAGATCGGGCATGCCAGGTCAGGGCAAAATCTTAAAAGTCTCGATGGTGTCTGGCCGTCACTTTTAATTACCCTTTTGGTTTGGCATCTGCTGTGTTCATGAAGGAATGATATGCCAGTAAATGATGCAAGTTAACGGTGGCCCTCAAGTTCATGAGACATGCCCCATTCAGCATTGAGCAAGATCCCCATTCCAAAGCCGGGATGTAAGTAAGAAACAAAGTCTGTCTGAGTCTCATGATAGGTTTGCCCGTCCATGTCTCTTCCCCTGATGTTCAGTTGCTTTCCCAGGACTGCAGTTGTTTCCAGCGTTTTCTTGTACTTCATCCCAAAGGCCATCTTCCCTGCCAGTGGATGAGACTTCGTAAAGCTCAGGCGTTTCAGAGCAACCATTAACCTTGCGTGAGAAAAAAATCCTCTTTCTTTCAGGAAGAAGAGCGGCAAGATCAAGTCTGCCTATAAGCGGGAGTGCATAAACATTGGGTGCGACGTTGACTTTGATTTTGCCGGCCCGGCTATCCACGGCTCGGCTGTCCTTGGCTACGAGGGCTGGCTAGCTGGTTGCCAAATGACCTTTGACAGTGCCAAATCCAAGTTGACGAGAAACAATTTCTCTGTGGGTTACAAGACTGGGGACTTCCAGCTGCACACCAACGTGTAAGTATTCAGCAGAAGTTGCCCGTGCAAAATTATGGGCAGGAACTCTGGGACGTTGTGACATCATTAAACTATAAATGTAAAAAATGCCTGCAGCAGTGTGTATTGTGTAAGTGTATTGTGCAAGTGTGATCAGAACCTTGGAAGTCCATGGACTAGAGTTAGATGAAATGACAGGCCGAATTGTTCCCTTACATTATGGAATGCAAACCGTGGTTTAATCCTGGCTGATAGCAAACCACAGTTCAGTCTTGTGTGGCTGGCCCATTGTGAAAAACTAGGTTTTGAGGAATGCCAAAGTCTTCAGTCTCCAAGCCACGAGCAAAAGGAAGGGTGGGTTTGCCGTCTTTTCTGAATGCAACCATAAGCAATAGTCCCATCCAAGTAGATAGATAAAATGCTTATTATTAGCCAAAGACCCATCATTTTCTTAGTCTAAAAATCTTCATTGGTCCAGAGAGCAATGTTCCCTCTAAGCTGTGGAGTCTTGTGAGCAAAAATTCTACTTTGTGAGGTACTGGCACTAAAGTTGTGAGCGAACAATTTGGCTATTGCATGAATTAGTTTGCTCTGGAGCCATCTTTTCTGAGCTAAAACAAAAATCTGTGAGCTGGAGGCTAAAAAACCGTGAGCTAGCTCACACTAACTCAGCTTAGTGGGAACACTGCTCTGAGCGTTATTCTTGGTTGTATCGGAAGACTTTTTGTGTCCTGTCCCCCCCATTTTGGCCCTTCTTTATTTGAGCTCAATGAAGAGAAAGCTAAAAAAAAATATGTTTGTGTGGGGGTTTAGTTTACGATGTGACTTTAAACATTTGCTGTAAAAATATTTTCCAGCAATGATGGGTCGGAATTTGGGGGCTCCATTTACCAAAAAGTCAGCGACAACCTTGAGACTGCCGTAAATCTCAACTGGACTGCAGGCAGCAACAGCACTCGGTTTGGAATTGCAGCAAAGTACCAGCTGGATTCTACCGCTTCAGTTTCGGTGAGTAGAGCGGCTGCTAAAGGAAAGGCCGCATCAGTGTTGGTCCACTAAACGTCTGGCTGGATCCTGCAGTGCCTCGTGGACAGTCTCCTTCTCAGCTGCACTGGTGGTCTTCCTGCTGTAAGGCTTCAGGTGGTGGATTGCTGTGGTGGTCTGAAGCAACAGAACAGAGTTTGAGTCCGGTGGCACCTTTAAGACCAGCAAAGTTCAATTCTGCATGCAGACAAAAGCTTATCCCCAGAATTAAACTTTGTTGGTCTTAAAGGTGCCACCGGACTCAAACTTTGTTCTGTTGCTGTAAGGCTTGGTAGTCTTGGATGGGAGCTTAGTCACATGGTTAGAGATGTGAAGGCCCAGAAAAATTTGGAAAAAACCCTGTTTGTTTCCTGAAACCTTTTTTGTTTTTTTCTGAAAAATTGAAAAAAGGAAAGGAAAAAAAATTGATTATGGAACATTTTATCTTAACATGATGAATAAAATATTTTAGGACAAGGTGTTCAGATATTTTCCAGATCATTTCTAAAAAATATGTATGGTATCAGATTGATGTAATTTCTGTGCACGGAGGACAAGCAAGTCCTAGGTTACAAACTGAACTCGCCAATGCAAGAACAAGATGCATTCCTTCTTTTAGGAGGTGCTGTTGTCACAAGAAAAGAAAAAGGTTTCAGTTTTGTTTTTGCATGTGGGTGGGTATTCTGTTTGTAATAATGGGTTGGATACACTATATTTTTAATATGCTAGTTGTGATCATTTCATGCCAAGTAAAAATGTCCATAGTCATATTTTATCTTCCTAAAGTAACAGAATGACTTTCAATCTGGAGAAGAAAAAAGAAGTGCTAATGTAGCATTTTTTTCAGTTTTTCCAAAAATTTCCATTTCCCCCCGAAAAAAACGGAAAAAACCCGGGGTTTTTTCCGAGCTTCAAAATTTCCGGAAATTTCACATCTCTAACCAATTTTACATCTCTACGCATGGTCTGCTCTCTCCTGGTAACGGCTGGTACAGCCAGTGGGCTGAGCTGTGTCCTGGTTCCGATCCTGGGTCTGCTGGCTGGGCTGGGCGGCATCATTGTGAAACTTTGCCAAAACGGCTAATGGAAATGGTTGTAATAGCTGAAGGGGCAGGCGCTTGGCTGTCCCGCTCAGAGTTACAGCCTTGGGCGTGTCACTTGCCATTCTTCCCTCCCCACCCAGAAAATGGGAGTGTGGCCGACCTGAATAGCAGTGGGGGAGAGAAACGGCGGTGGAGCATTTTGCACATTAGAAGGGCTTTTACAAAGTATTGATGGGATGTCAGTAGGGTAAGGGGGTCTGTCTCTTCTGTCTGAGTTTGTGGTCGCTGTGGCTGTAAGGGATGGCCCCGGGCTTTTTCAAAGTCCACCCCTCCCCCCCCCACCTACAGGCATA